TTCTATTGTTTATGCACATATGTTTTCAAAGTAATTATACCACATTTAAAAGTAAGATTGTTTTGGCTTTTTATTATTAGAGTTACAGTCATACATATTTTCAGAAGCTTGTATTTAATCTGTATAAGAAACAATCATATTAAGCAACATGCAAATTACACATTTATTGAGAAAATTACGTATTTTTATTGGAAGATCATGAGGGAGGAAACTATATGGTTCTCCAAAAGAGAAAAATAAACAAAAACTCCATATTATGGAGTAGACAAGGTGCTGACGGTGGTGACACAAATCTGACGGTGGTGACACACTAGTAGAAAACAAGATATTATTTCTTTCAAAATGACAATTAAACCTTAACAACCTTTGTAATATCACAAGACACATCATAACAATTCTGTTTTTGCACATGTCAAGTTCTACATTTTAATAGTTCACCAGCTACCTACTACTCCTTGATTCCTAAAGTTCTCTGTGGTTGTGTGTTTAGACCTTGCTGGACTTTCTCTCCTTTAGACTCTCTGTGCTTGTTTCCAAAACCTTCTCTTCTGACTTTTTTCTCTTCCTTTCAGATCACTGGTGTTCTTTATTTTTCCCTCTTTCACTCTATTTCTCTATCTTTCCCTTTCCTTTATGAGAAACTCTTTCTTCAACTCAGGCTGGCTGTTATTTTTTCTCTCTTTCTTTTTTGATCATCCCTGTTCCTTCTCTTTCATTCCTCTGCTGACAGGTTCCCCTTTGCTATTCTAGCCTGAAATGTACCATTTTTTAAATTACTATAATTCTTCTGAACCTTGTGCTTTTTCACAGATTAAGGATGAATATTCACAACACAATTATGCATTAAGCAATAGAAATGCTATCCAGCCATTAAGTTTGATGTCATTAGCCATTTCCAGGTCCAAACTCTGCTGCAGATCCCAAAGCAAAGGAACTCTGCGGCATCACTGAGAGTCACAAACTGTCTAAATTCTTTCATCTTTAATAAAATGATCAGTGTGGCTGCACTAGCAGGTGTAACATCCAGGCATCCATGAAAACAGAATACATGAAATTTAAAGTTAAAGTTAGATTGCTTGTTTCCACCTGAACATGATATACCAGCTCTGCTACCACTTCCAACATAAATGGAGACAGAAAACTAAACAGCAGTGACTATTGTCAGGTTACTGAAGTTGGGCTAGCTGGTATATAGTGATGTGCTACGTGATCGCTAGCGACACAGCTGTGTTAGCATAACATAAACACAGTGAAGCTGGAGGATGAATGCTAACTTTTTTCCACTTGATAAAAGTTAACGTGAGGGTTTCCGATGGTTAGGCTGACAGTGATCACTGGCTGTTTTTAGGGGCTTGTTCAGATGTAATAGAACAAGATAAAAAGCATTAAAACATTTTAACAGCACAACAGGCTTAACAA